AAAAAAAAAAAAAACATCCTCCGAAATCAAACAAGCAACACACAACCAGACAAATATGCAAGATTAAAATAAAAAAATAATCATTAGAATAGCAAAACAAGATCCCACAACTACATTATTATTAAAGTTGATAATTTACCTTGAAGGCAATGACAATTCTCTTCTTACGACATCGAGATCCGAATCTATCAATCCGTCATCCTCGGTTTAGTGCCTCTTGTCTCATTTGTTCCCATCAAAAGACTAATAAATAAATAAATGAACATATCATCACAAAGCAAAAATGAACAAAGAAATTATGTTATGTATTTTTCATGTAAAGAAAATGATTTTTGGTATACTGACACACCACAAGTCAAACCTAAGATTAAACATTTGAAAATTTATATCCCTACATTAATACTCAAAATTGTAGTTTACATTAGCAAACAATTAAGACGTGAATAAAAGGCACACATTAAGCAATAAAAGACACAAAGCTAAATAAGAAGTATGTTATGGCACTGCAAAGATAGTCGCACGGCTACAAATTGTGTCATTGTTTCATCCATTAATGGATCAGCCACATCCTGCATACATTACATATTTTTCTTAAAGAAGACCTTAGAAATTTAAATGATTATAAGTCCGACAATGAATAAAGATGAAATTCAAAATGAAATAGACCTTGACCACACAAAGAATATCAAAGCGGGAAATGATTGGACCCGTCAATTCCACATTCTGCAAAAATATGTGAAAATATCTTTGATGGATTGTATTGCAAGAGAATATTTACGACAAGAAATGTTAAACTACATATCGGGTTAAAAACTTCAAAGCAAAATTAGCACCCTGCTAATTTCATGACGAAGTGAAATCAATTTTGGCTTAAACATCGAGGCAATAGAAACCAAAGAAAATAACTGTTATAAAAGCATTTTTGTTATCATTTATCGTAATATAAAAAATACTTTATTGAGATTCTTTGTTGAACTCATTACAAGGAAGAAAACCAACACATTAAAGCAAATAAGAAACCTAAGTACCTGTGGCAAAATAAACAAACAAATAAACAAACAAAGTATTCAAAAAACGTTGTTGTATGTCAACCTTAGTACCTGTGGCAAAATTAAGCATAAACGACATTACTATGTGAAATTATTGATATATTATTAGTATAAGGTTACTTCAGTGTACCTTCCTCCAAAAGTCTTGTCGTCATAACAAATGTTCGCAAACCTTAACAGTGGCATCCGAAGAGCAAGATACTAATGTGTTACCACATGCAAGGACAACATCGTTCACCTGCCCAGCCAACAATTTCAAATATAAATTTTCCAGATTATACAAAAAGAGTACCACATATAAAACCAAATAATCGATATTATTTCATCTTCATGAAAATGAAAAGTCACATACCTAGGAAAGCATTTTATAGGACATCGTCCCCCGCTCTAGCTTATTGTAAAGTTAAACCATCTAATATTGGTATCATCGTTCTCCCTACGTAGTAAGTCGGAATACATAGACCCTTAAAAAACAGTTCCATTCTAGACGTTACAGCTCACCTGTCAGATAGATCAGATAATGCAGAAAGTTAATTGAGACCATATAGCAAAACCCAGGGGCTTATATGCACAAATCAGACAATGCATATAATTGTGGGACACTAACAAGACTATCCTGCTTATCCAAGGTTAAGTAATAAAATAAGTTCACTGCCACCTACATTACAGTATAACAGAGAAACTATCAATGACAGTTGTTGTGTTAACGTGTTTTCAAGCGATTGCAAACATTCCCTGTACAACTCGTGAATATAAAACACAAGAGTAGTGAAGCTTGAAAGATCAGATTTCTTGATATTTTCTGATAAAACAGACAGAATTACTAATTTCAGAAAAAACAAAAGAGGATTAAAGAGTTACCTTGGAAGAGCCCTGATGTCGATCTGGATGCCATTTCAACACACATGCTCGATATCTGCAAGCATAAATTTTTTTAGGATCATAGAAAAAATCCCCAAAATGAAAAGCAAGAGAATGAAAGGTACAACAAAATAAGTGAACAAACCGAAGAGTACTCACGCATTTTTTACGTCATCTACATTCAAAGGGTGGATGCAACCAGCCCCAGAGCAACCCTATCAGACCTCATGTCTACCATAGGACTCTCATAATCAGATGACGAATCATAGTCTTCTCCATACTGATATTTCTAACCCCTAGAATTCCTATAGTTGCTAGAGTAACTATGGGAAGCAGAGGTGCTCCGGTGAGAGTGGGTTCAGCGGCGACTGAAATAGGAAAGGGTAAGATGTGGGGTTTGGTATCTCACCTCGTACATTTCTTGGTGGGCGGCGAAAACTTCTCGTCGTAGATCACGGTCGGTTTCGCGGCGACGGAGGCAGACCGTGGACAACGTCCTCCAGAGTCTATGAGACCAAGGTACAGGCCAGGAATAGAGAGGGGTGGGGCGGCGAGTTGAGCCTTTTGTACAGAGAGGCGAAAATGGAAGGGGCTAGACTTTGATGGAAGAAGAAAACGTGAATGAGTGGAGAAAATATTTCAGAGTTTTGATCAATTCTCCCTAATTTTGGGTTTGTAAGAGGAAGACGTGCTCAACCAGTTGTTGCTAGGTTTTGATGGAAGAAGAAAACGTGAATGAGTGGAAAAAATCTTTCGGAGTTTTGATCAATTCTCCCTAATTTTGGGTTTGTAAGAGGAAGACGTGCTCAACCAATTGTTGCGTGTTTGACCCAAAAACTGAGAAGATACGGTACAAAATGTGGAAAAAGTAGTGGCAGCCTCCGTAAATATAGCTAAATCCGGATGGCAGTTTTTTTGAAAGAAATCGACACGTGTCAGGCCCTCCATCCCTTACATTTTTTCTTATATGTAAGAGGGAGATTTAATAAATAGTGAAAATAACCATTGTCACCTCGCGGAATAAGTTTTACTCACGACTAAATAATAAGTTAAATTTTTTCACTCTATAAAATGCAAATAAATGACACAATAGACTATGCGATAAAAAGACTAAAAAAAATAATAAAGTGCGAAACATTTATGTGATAAACTATGTGAATTGTAGAAAATAATTGATAAAGTATAAAAAAAGTATAAAACAATTATGTGATAAGCTATGTGAATTACAAACAAAGATAATTGATAAACCGCGAAATATTATGCGGTCAACAATGCGACAAACATGCGAACATAATTGATAAAACGCGAAACAATTATGCGATAAACTATGCCACAGGGAGGCGAAGATAATTGATAAAGTGTGAATTAGTTATGCGACGAACATGCAAAGATAATTGATGCAAAAAACTATGGGACATACATAAGATAATTAATAAAGTGTGAAACCATTATACGATAAACTATACAAAGAACAAGAGAAAATAATAGATAAAGTGCGAATGTGACATACATACGAAGATGATTGATGCGAAAAGCTATGTGACAGAAAGACGACAAACTATGCGAAAAACAAAAGAAAATAATTGATAAAGTGCGCATGTAAAAAACATACGAAGATGATTTATACGAAAAACATGTGACAAAAAGACGAAGATAATTGATAAAGCGCAAAAATATTATGCCAAAAGCTATGCAACATACATAAGAAGATAATTGATAAAGTGCGAAATATTTATGTGAAAAAAATACGACAGACAAACGAAAATACTCGATGAAGTGAAAAACAGTTATGTGATAACGTATGCGACAAACAAGATAATTATTAGAATGGGGGAAGAGAGTGCAGTCCCACTAGATGAAGCGCACCATAAGAGGGTGAGTCTAGGTGCACCATAGTGAGGTTCCATCCCAAAACCAATTGGTGATGGGAGGAGTAGCCCACTAGGCTTATATACTAGACTCATTTTCCCTACAGAATCAATGTGGGACAACTCACAAGTGATATTCCAACACGCCCCCTCACTTGTGAGTTCTTCGTAAGTCCAAGCCCACATCGCAGGCCGGATAGAGAGATAAGCCCAAGCCCAGAGCAGGCTGGGTACAGAGAGTCTTTGCAGGTCATAGGATAGGCCCGCTCTGATACCATATTGAACTTAGGGTTTGATAAAAACCAGAGAGAGAAAGGGAAAAGAAACTTGTATTGACTATTGGAATTCAGAGAATGAAAAGTGTTGTGCTACAATAGAAAAGTCATATTTATACTGTAGCTTAATGAACTAAAAGTGCTAAAAGATAAAATAGCAACTAATACAAGGTTATCAAATAACAACTATGACACATCATCTAATATGTTCGCACACAAGACCGTTTAGAGCATACACCGTGCCACCTAGTTCGGGTGAAAGTGTCCGACTCAATCTCTCTCCTTCTTCCGGCGGCCTCACACTCATTTTCAGATAAAACCACCACTCAACCATTCAATCCAAAAAAAATACCATATCTACGTTCATTTTCACACACACACACACACAAAGAAATAACTGCCTCACATTGCAACTTCATATCCTTCGTCGTCAGATTCAATCATTCAACCGATTTTTGAGCTCAATGGACGTCAATTGGCCGGAGGCACGGCAAGTTCAAAGCTTTTCCGTTCTTCTATTTCCCTAATTTGAGGTTTCGGCCGATGATGTTGCATGGGTTTTCATCGGGAAGAAGCAATGGCAGTGCCGGCAATTTTGAAAGAGAATTAGGTGAATAAAGTGGTTAGTACAGAAGGAGTCGACGGATAAAGGACGGCCATGGGTGTGGTTACCATCTCTCATGGCCAGCCTTTTGCCGCCCGTGGCCGAATGTATCCTCATTTTGCGTCGTTATCGACTTACCGTAGATTATGCCCTCATCACCTATCTCCAGCTCGAAAATTTCATAATGCGCATTTTGCCCCTCTCAGGCACGCTGTTTCTTGTAACTTTGGTTGTTTTTTTGGGGACGTTAAGTTGTTGGGAGATTGAGTTGGATTTATTTGGTGATTTATTGTGCCAAATTCTATTAACTTTGAAATTGGCCTTCTTGTGCATTCGTGTTTTAATAAGTTGTATCTGGGATATGTTGAATTCTTTTCTGAAAGCGTCTCAAGATGAGTCTTCTGTAAATGAGCACCCTAGTTAATTCATGTGGCAAAGAGTAACATGTGATTTTTGAATAAACTTTCTACAAAATTGCTTCAATAATCAAATGATTATACAATGTGGTGAGAGCAAAATGCTTTATCAGAGTTGATATTGAGTAGACTTACTGTTGGATATTTCCGAGTTTCTTTCTTTCTTTCTTTTTCCCCCAAAAAGTTTCAGATGTAACTAAGTCTGTTATTCGATTGCAGGCTTGATACTTTTTGTTTAAGGTGTATATTCACCAACACGGATGTCTTGAATTCCGTGACAACTGAGGAAGTCTATGAGAATACCATATCTCTTGATTCAAATTGTTCTGTTCCAGTTGTTCAAATCCAGTCTGGTACATTGGAGACTGAAGGAGTTGACTTACTTGTTGGGAGCACCTATGTAGACACTATATTGAAGGAATTGCCTGTAAGTTTGTTTGGCTAATAATTTTGTTTTAATAATTCTTTTCACATTGCACTTCTTTAGCTTTCTCGCGGATCATGTAGGTATTAACAGCGGAGGAGCAGAACGCCATTGCTGCAACTCCTGCACATCCGGCTGGACTCTATGGTTAGTGTTCTGACTGTTGTCGTAGAAGAAATTGTGAATGACTATATTAAACGCAAAAATGTAAGAATTAGAGAAGACTTCTTTGAGGAGGTGGATCTACAACTCCCTAAAGTCTTGTAATTTTGGGGCTTTGAGATGGAAGATTGCCATGGGAATTCTCAATCTCTATTAATCAACATGAGAAACGGTTATTCACTTGATTGCAATTTGGAATTGGTATTAAGGCACTGCAAACTTCTTGGATGCCTCCTGATGTTTTTATGTGCTTGGTACAGAGATATCGTTGTCTATGCTTTTTCTCCTTGTGTTGAATTACAGTATGTCCATTACCTGTCATGACTCATGAGCATAATGCTTTAGCATGAGTAGCTTCGTCAGTTCTCTGTAAAGTGATTATGAAAACTGTTTTTTACTATCCACGTTCTCAACGTAATCTGTTTTTAGTTCTTAGGTTCGTGGTCCTCAAAAGTTGTTCTAGTTTGAATCACCTCTTACAATAGTTAGAAGTGTTTATTTAATCTTTTTATGTCAGTAAAATGCCCATTTTTACTTTAGATTCAGCTTTTAATAGTGGATCACATATTTTTTTAGCATTATATGCTAGTTGCTTGGCTGGGAATTTCGTTGAGCAGCTTTGGAATTTTGCTTGGCCTGCTGCCATTGCAATGATTCATCCGAGTCTTCTTCCTGTGGCTGTCATGGGATTCTTCGCAAAGGTATCAGTTGGTCCGTTTCATTGCAAAGTCGAGAAATTGAAGAATTGAAACCATATACACGTAAAACAGCTTGCAGTAATTGCTGGAGGCCCATTGGTGGGAAAGCTAATGGACCATTTTCCTAGAGTACCAGCGTATAATTGCTTGACTATTGTTCAGGCACCTACTTTTTCTTTTGCTTTAATAATTTTGAAGCATTTTTTCATTGAAAAAAAAAATAAAAATTTCTGTTCTTATACTTCCTTCTTCCAGGCAGCTGCTCAGTTGCTATCTGTTGGGATGATAATTCAAGCTCACTCAGTCAGCCCCACTCATGTGTCTTCTGTTCTTGTCCAACCTTGGTTTCTTATGCTCACGATAGCTTTGGCTATTGAAAGGCTCTCTGGGCTTGCCCTTGGGGTTGCCACAGAGCGTGACTGGGTTGTTTTGGTAACGATCTTAATTATTTTCTAGTTTCCCTTCCCCACCAATTGTTATGTGGAGACCTCTGGCCTTCTGCAAAGTCTTACATATTTTTCTATTTACTAAGGATCTGTTGTTTCAGTTGGCAGGAACAAACAGACCAATGGCGCTTGCTCAAGCGAATGCAGTCCTTAGTAGAATTGATCTCCTCTGTGAGGTAATAAGAAGTGCCTGTTCATAGTTCCCCCAATTTGTAACGTGTGTATGTATATTTCCTTTGTGTGACTTAGTATTTTTGTCTGTGGACTGTTTAAAGAAATGATTTCGATTCTTATGATGTGGCTGATGATTTCCTGCTTTTGCACACATCCAGATCACAGGAGCAACATTATTTGGCATTTTCTTATCTAAGCATGAACCAGTGACATGCTTAAAGCTAGCTGCTAGTTTGATGATGTGGTCTCTGCCTGTTATGGTAGTGTATAGTTTTTCTGTTGTCTGGGTCTTCAATTAGCGCGCGCGCGCACACACACACACACACATACATGTGTGTGTTACTTTCTGATTCTTTCTCTGCTTGAGATAGGTTTTCCTTACATGGTTGACAAACAAGCTTTCGGCTGGAGTCCTGGACCGTGCAAAGTATCCACAAACTTGTTGCTGCAGTAATCTTGAAGGACCTATGCCAGATACCTCAAATATTGGTAAATATCTTAAATTGTAAAGTTTTAGATAGAAAGTGCTTTTAGTTAAAGTATTTATGGTTTATATATAAATCTATACGCTATTTAATAAATATATACGCATATATATATGAATGTGCACATGCTTATTGATGCCGACGACAGTGCGTTGGCGTTTCTCGACATATATGATCGACTCCGGCCTTTAGTGTGATTATTATTATATTTATTATCATTATTTATGTTTGTGTCTAATTATGTTGTGTGTTGGGCTTTTTTTATTTGGGCTTTTTAGTCTAGTTGGTTAGAACTTGGTAAGATTATTAATATGTACGTGTGATATTATGAACGGGCAGTTTTTATCAGATAAAGAAAAGAAAGAAAACTGTTCTGTGTTCTTCGTTTTCTCTGCAACATCTTCCGATCACTTGCTTCCATCTACATCACTTATATTCTTATATATAATTTGTATGTTTATATACGCATCACTATATCTGTGTGATGAAAGCTGACGTTATTTTTTTTTCAAATGAAGCTTCTTGTCTGCGCTTATTCTGTCTTTCTTGTTGATAGTGGCTACAAGTATAGAAGTTATCAAGCATGGGTGGTTTGAATACATTCAGCAGCCTGTTCTGCCAGCAAGCCTTGCTTATGTGTTGCTCTACTTCAACGTTGTTCTTGCTCCGGGTGGTTTGATGACTGCTTTCTTAACACAACATGGTATTATGGAGAATCTTTAACAACTGTTTCTGGCATGATATCTCTTAGCATGGAGACTTAATACAACTTGTTGATGCCTGCATTTCGTTAGGATTGCCTTTAATTTGCATCAAGGATAAAGATTCAATCATATATCGACTTGTAATGCTGCCTGGTAACATAAAACATTGGTGACAGTGCCATTATAGTTTTCGGAATATCCGAATATGGTTAGTGTTTCAGCCTTTAGAGATATGTAAAGATTTTTTTATTCTAACTTTGGCATTGGAAACTGTGCATGGTCGGAGCTTGTGCTGATTATGTAAGTGATAGAAATGGAAGAGACGGTTAATAAAAAACAATTGCGTTGTATGCATGGAGATACTTGAAAAGCGTTTCGTTGTTCAGCTGGAAAGAGGAAGATATGATCTATATGTGGGAGATTTTTCAATTATACAGGCAGCTTGAGTGGTTTGTGGGCCACATTTTCAATTCTAGATTCTTCTTGTTGACTTTGTGTTGTTGTTGGCTAGGATATATTCAGATATATGTTTATTTAGTTGAAGAAATAATTGATAAATATTAATGGACAATGGGAATATGGTGAAAGTTTTAATCTTGATTTTTACTTCAGAGAAAGAAAACATCCTATTTGAAGCCAGCAACAGTAATCAATATAATTGTAATGGGAGTTAGAGATATATAAAGATATGTTTCACCTTTAACTGGTGTAGAAAGTAATTTAATGTTTTGTGTTCATCTAAGAATTGATTGTAGGAGAGGACATAAGGTGGTCTATTGTGCACAAGTTCTGAGAAAATAATTAGGAGCCCGTACATAGATTTTTTTCTCATTAAGGATAAACAAAGAAAATCTGTAGCGTGCTCTATATGTCGGGAGATAGACTTTGTATGTTTAGCTGAACTTAGGAACAATGTTCCATAATTTGGTATTATCAGATACTCGGATTTATCTTCAGCCTGTTGAGTTCTTTCTGTAGATCATTCTTGCCTTCATCAAATTAAAAATAAAGCTAATTCGTTTGGCAGCTCAACAGTACAGGCCATTCTTTATCCAATAGTTTCTTGCATTCAGAGACTGTGTAAAATTTTTCAACGCAATTACACACTGATTCAGATTTGAACTTCGATAAGTTTTCTAGTTGAAAGCAATAACCGTGTCATTGGAACAAACACTAATAAGTATCATGCACTAAAACCATTTCTGCAGATAGCCTGGGAAAATATTTCCAGGTGCAGTTTCTCAAATATGTATTCAGGTGAACTCTAAAAGCTATTTCATAAGTCATACCAAGGAGACGAATAGTAATCAAGTAGACTTGTGCAAGATTTACTATTAACTTTAATTATGTTGCGACTATCGGATGCCTGCAGAGGTACTGGAGGTGGTTATGCGATGGCATATTATTATTACTGGTCCAAAATGTAAATTTTGGTACAAAGGTTATTCCAAAGTTTGCGTTAGGAACTGATGTTGTTAAACTCTTACCGACTGGAGGTGTTAAACAACGTCAAATGTTGCTTCTCTTAATGTTAAATCTGATAAAGATTGACACCCAGAAGTTGATATTGTTATGACTTTCGATTACGACTCATTACTTATGCAAAACATTAAGGCGATGCTTGATTTTCCCCATAAATTATGAACCACATCTATATAATAATGTATTTGAGTTTGTTTCAGGTTTAAATCCTACAATTATTGGAGGGTTTAGTGGACTATGTGCATTTATGGGTGTTGCAGCAACATTTATGTCAGCAAAGATGGTTGAGAGTCTTGGCATTCTGAAGGTACAGTCGGGTTTTCTGTTCAAGTTTTTTGCTTTTTATTGATCTCAACTAATCTTAATGAATTGTTTATTCCAGGCTGGAGCAGCTGGCCTTATATTTCAGGCTTCACTTCTTACCATTGCAGTTGCTGTGTACTGGAGTGGCTCCCTTTCTCAAAAGATCCCAGTTGTATTCTTCCTATGTTTGATTGTGAGCTCCTTTCACATTTTCATCTTTAACCTGTCAATATTCCAATATGCGTGATGGTGTTCTGAATCAGTATAAAGGTGCCCTTTGGATTGATTTAGCATCACACTTCCATGGCTATATTAAATTTGAAGTTAGGCCAAACTCATTGTATATAAAGACATACATATATCTAAATAGCATCCAACTCCTATTTCATGCTTCCTTAAACTCATGATTAATATAATTGGACCAATACGTAAGAGAATCAAAATAAGTAAACAACTCGAACTGTGTAAATTTATGCGCTCATCCTAGAAGAAGCTGGAACTTTTCAAAGGAAGGTAATTATTGTTGCCATTTGCATCATTTGAGCTCAAACACAGTGGATAGTTTATTATCGCTTGTTACGTAACAAAAACACATCCTTTTATCAGGTACTGTCCAGACTGGGACGCATGTCATATGATGTTGTGGGAGCACAAATTCTTCAAACCGGGATTCCTCCATCTAAAGTTAATCTTATAGGGACTACAGAACTCGCGGTTGCTAGCATGGCAGAATCAATAATGCTAGGAGTTGCTATAATTGCTAATGATGTTTCGCACTTTGGTATTCTAGCAGTGTTGTCACTTATATCGGTGGTTGGAGCAGCTTGTTTGTACTGCCGCTGGTTGACAAATCCTACTGATACACAAAGGAATCTCTTTCCTGTTGAACTGCACTTCTCATAGTGTACGTAGAGTTCTAATCTTTCTACCTTGTACCTGTACGTGGGCTGATTAGTTTCCCTTGGATTTCTATATGCTGATATCATCGAATAAAGTGTGAAAAAAAAAAAAAAAATGCAGATATTCCCTGCTTTAGAGCTTCATTATAGTACTTAGACCTTGGAGGATTTAGATGCAATTCATGGGTTTGACTAATGAGTTTGTAGATGAATATATATATATATGTATATATATATATATATATTTTTTTTTTTTTTAATTGATGGACAAGTTTTCAAGTTGATCAGTTTCACATAGATTTCGTAAGTTTTAAGAGTTAGGATTAAAGCATCAAGATTGCATCAGGGTTTATGGCATACTTTTCAAAATATTTTTGTGGGGGAAAAATAGGAACATAAAACATTCAGAAGTTGGAATTATTGGCTTGGATGATCTGATTTCTGCATGTTATTATACTTTAACCATGTGCTGTGCAGCTGCAAGTATCTAATAGATAAACTATGAATCTCAGTCAGGAAGGTCTTTGGTCCCGAGTTGCTAAGAGGCCAGATAAAGGCAAGGTATATGGCCCCTGCCACTTTGATGTGTGCAAGCTCCAGCAATATTATAGAGGCACGATGATAGATTCGGTAATGTTGTGCATGTACAATTCTTTATATCGGACTTAATTAATAGATTGTAGGTCACACGATTTTGTCATTTGTCGTTCGCTCAAAATGATCTTTCCTGTTGTCCGGGCCATGTATATACTTACAAAATCTCCAGACAAGTGTCGTCAAAAAAATTATGTCGAAGACTGATCGTATATACTCTGATAGAAAAGTCAACTCATACTCTGTGCCCTTTTGGGGTCCGATTTTTCATTTATTTGGATATATTTGTAAATGGTATGAGGGTCCATCTTTACGTGGCCCTTATGGCATCATAAGGAGTTCACCATCATGGAAGGACTCTGCGTCGACAGTTATTTTGACGTTACAAGAGGAACAGGTGGCATCAGAATTTGAAAGCTTCAATACCACTCGGTTCGAACAGGAGGAGTAGGCTAATGCTAATGTGATTTGATTCGTAGTTTTGTCCATGTATGCAATTTGAATAAATTGATTTACTGCTTGATAATTTTATTGAAAAAGATCGATTAAGAGTTTCCAGTTGCTGTAGTTCCCTAATTTTTCTTGCCAATATGTGGCTTGGACCTTTTCAATGCACCATAACAAGAGTACAGTATTTGCCCTGCTTTAGAATTTCCATTATGTATGGTCTCCAAAATGCACGATTTGGTTTGGTTTCATTTCGATTATGACGTTTATGTCCAAATTTGGATAATAGAAAAAACAAAGAAAAAAAATAATTATCAATGATACACAACGGTTGAGAGCATCTGAATCCGTCAATCAATGTACCAGGACTATAGAGCACTGACAGTCATAATCGTTTGTTTACATCGTTCTTTTTCTATTTCCCCTGCATCGTTCTGAAGATGCAAACCAGCATATTACTTTTGTACCCATATATTTTACAAAACTGGAAGCAGTCGATAGAACTGCACTTCCATAGATTCAAGAGATAACATTCTCAACCTTAGATTCCATCGGAAAGCAAATGATAACTACTGTTTCAAGCCATATCTCGGCCTCAGATTACTGAGTGTTGCACCATAATCAGCATTCCCCTTGCTGAAAACCTCATCCCAAATCTTGGTAATATCTGTTCCCATAGAAGACAATATCAGATGAATTTGCACTTTAAAATTTCAAAGCTGCAAGAATGCTAAGATGATTTTTGGAGGAAAAAAAAAAATAAGTATAATCAGATTCACCCAATGCAATATATGAATAAATACGATATACAACTATATGAAGTTCTTTCTCTCTTTACATTTCATCAGTTCTAGTGTGCATACGTGAGTGAAATAAATAACCTTACAAATTTAACATAAACCCGACTCATCAATTTGGCGTTCAGATATTTGTAACAGTTGGGGACTGCAAGATTGGAAGATAGAGAAGAAAAGAAAAACAACGAATTAACAAATTTTGATTTTGCAAAGGCTGAAAAAGCAAAGATAATTTTTTTTTTTTTTTAAAGATCATCGTGTTTAAAATATACCACAATCGGGGTTGAATTTCTATTTAAAGGAAAGAATAGTTAAAATGCTCTAGGCGCATCCACATTGTCCTTAATAACAATCAATCAGCATCAGAACTGAAAAGTTTAAATTTATAACACGTCCCGAAGTTTATTACTAAGAGAGACACGTTAGGCTCACCCATTCTTTCACAGTTAAAACATATCTACATCTGCTTACCAGCCTTATCAGAAGATCCAAGGCACATGATGATCATGTCAAACCTTGGGATTTTTATCAAATTCTGTAAGTAGTCAACACCTAAAGCCATGTCTTCCCTGCCAAATAAACAAGATCACAAACAAATTATGCGCATGTTGCCATTAAATCACCCAAGTATAATAACATATTCCAGTAAGGAATGATATCTTACATGAAAAAGGTGGAGACACACTTTATGATGTCAACAAGTAATGTAGCTGATAATGCATTTTTAAATATCCCAGGCAATGCAGCAGGCGAAGTTACCTGAATAGTGAAAAAAGGCAGATTCAGCTAAAAATAAAGTATATCACTCCCTTTTTGTTATTAATAATCAGTGTCAAGTAAGCCAATAGAAACACTACATATTATTCCTTAATTCAATGACATAAACATAATTACCAAATGTAGAATCGTGAGTTGCCAATTTTTGCGTCTAGAAAGATGAGAAAATGAAACATGCAGATCAAAACTGACATGACAAACACCAACCTTCAGTAAGCGAGCCTGTAAATCACAGTCACCAGACAACCCTCGCCAAGTCATCTCAAATTGATAAGCTGAATTTGGTGGAACAATGTTTTTTGCAGCTTCGGACTTTGCAAGGATTGCTGCTTTAACAGCAAGCTCTTGCACGGAAGCCTTCACTTCCTGCTTGTTATACTTTGGTATCCTCTGTCACAAGTTTGGACATGGAATAATCACTAGGAGACTAAAGATGAGCATGAAATCTCGCAAAGAGAATACCCAAGGGGTTTGTGCGTTCAACAAAACTGGAATTTAGGGGCTTGATTGTTTATGAAATAATTTGTTCAAAATGAGTTATTTTGGTTAACCATAGTTAATTTTGAAAAGATAGTATGGTTAGTTGTTAGTGGAATTTTAAAAATGTATTAAAATAATATTTAAAATAAAATGATTAAAATTGATTTGATATAAAGTAAGAGATAAATGATTGGAAATGTTTGGAAATGATAAGTAGTTAAGAATATGTGAGTGGATGAATAGTGAATTAAAGTTGATGTGATATGTAAGAATGATTGGTTTATATTATTTAATTATATGAATAATATTAAATATAATGAGGTTGAGTTAAAGTTGAGTTGAAATAAAAGTGGATAAATTAATTCATAAACAAACAAGCCCTAGGGTAACAGCATTACAAAATTAGTGTCATCGTTGGAAGTACGACTAAGCCAGATAGCATTTTCATTTAAGCACCAGGCCAATTACTTGAGCACAACTCCATACTCACTGCATAAGTTCTTTTTTTCTAGGGACTGCATTACGAATTTCATACAACATGTTTTTTCGTTTTTTTATTTTTTTATTTTTTCTCTAAAAAAAGATGGATTAATTGTGATGACATAATTCTGGTAATGTTAGCAGACCTGGTCTTGATTATCTTGGATATTTTACAGAGTTGGGCCTTCTTCATGTGTCTCAACTTAATTAAAATAACCGACTTAATAAACATGTAATGTTTTATCAAAAGAAACACAATGGAACAGTAAGTTCTATGTATCCTCATTGGTTTATAAGAGGTTCTTTCATTCAAGAGATCAATTCTGGACTAAACTCCAAAGTAAAGATTGCATAGGCTGGCTACCAATACCACAACTGGTTTCATTACACAACCACGACTCGAGTAAACAGGAGTCCTAGAGTACACATGATAAAATAATGTGTGATTTGTAACGTAAAAATCTCAATAACTTCTAACTCATGCAGATATAAATACATACAATAAGCAAAGTTTATATAATCAAGGGAAGAACTCATCACCAAACCTTAGCAGTCTGCAAGCTACTACCAGCGTCAGATGATCCATTACTCCCAATGTTGTTTGTTTCAACTTTCACAGATGTATCAGCAACTACTTCTCTAATATTACTCCCCTGAAAATAATTCCAATGGCCGAACAAGCAGTTACTAATATCCAGCATATGAAAAAAAAAAAAGCAATACAATACTAGACCAGAGTTTTCAAATAAATAAAGATACTCAAGTATAAAGTTCAATTCTTCAGGAGGAGCCCAACACTAAAACAACTATTTTAACCCTCGGTGATTTTTATTCAATGTAACTCTTTTAAAGAAGTTCAGAGTGATACACAAGGAAAGTGAATGATTACAGTTCAGACTAAAACCTTAGGATGATCCAGGATCTCAGCCACTCTTCCATCAGGAGAAGTTTTTGAAACAGTTTGGAGCTGTACATGCCTATTCTTAACCACCTCTGATTTTCCTGGCCGTGCTCCCTCCACAGTTTTTTTTAATGCCCCAGATGCCTTTTTCAGAAGATCCTGTAATTGCAGTAATATAAAGCATAAAACCAATACCTACTTCCGGAATGAATCCAAGTAAAGCACAGCAGTTCAATTTAATAGCCATCATTGACACTTTTCTCAACTTTACAAATAACAAACTTAATTGGGATGGTTCAGGCAGTATGAGGGAAGTGTGTTGCTGCATGGTTTGAGGAAACAACGGAAAATACAGTAAATATTTGTAGCCATAGAAGTTGCTCAACAAATGAACCAGCCAACAGATCAGTATCAACATTGAAAAATATCAAGGAAAAATAAAATAAAACAAAAACAAAACTTAATTCAGTCTAGTAAAAGGTATATACCTCCTTAAACAAAGATTTGCACTCGGCACACTGCTTCTTAATCTCTTGGTTTTGTGGCTCCAACCTCAAAGCAAATTCAGCATCTGTATTCCACCACAAAAAAGTTCAGTCACTGTACAAGAAATGAGACTGAAGAAGTTTTTCATCAGTAACGAAGAATTTTACCATCAACTGCTTCTTTGAGTTTCCCAAGTTCTTTCCTTGCAGTAGATCGACGAGAATAAGCTTTTATGTACCGATCATCTAAATTCAAGGCTTCTGTACAATCATTTTCGGCCTCCTGGAATCTATTCCATATAGAAGCAAATAAAAAATTAAACTTTTTTTTAACACGCGACCAATTTAGTACAATGTGTAGCAAATAAACCTTTTAAGTTTTATGTATGCCATTGCCCTGTTGGCGTAAGCTACTGCAGTTGGTGATAGTGCTATGCTACGTGAATAACAGTCTATTGCTTCATTGAATTTCTTCTGCTTAAAAAATTCGTTACCCTAAAAACAAAAGAGAAAGGAAGAAATCACATGAGAGCCAAGTTACAATGCTCCTTGCCATGAGAACAGAACTAAAGTCGAAAGGCAAGAAAAGCATACCAACTCTTTCTCGGAATTAGCATCAATAATGCTCTCTGGAGATGACAATCCACTAGATAATCGATTGAGTGCCTCATATTCTTTCAAATAATCATACTTCATGACTGTACTTGCTTTGTCAGAAGAGGGAGTATTGGGAACAGTCTGTTTACTATTAACTGCAGCGTTACTTCTACTAGGCTGACCTGGATGATCCTTTCCACAACATAAGAATAGAGAAACCATAGAATATGGTTAGAGTGTGTAATAAAAAATCCATGCATGCATTGAAAGTAGATATTTATTCTAGACAAATGAGTTTAAGTCTGTAAATAATTCATAAACTAGTTCAATCTTATTACAAATTTAAATCTAACAGTTGATTTGTAATCGATCTTGACTTGAACATGTCCTCCCAAGGCCTGTTGAGACTAAGACTATGACACAACAACAAAAAAAAAAAAAAAAAAAAAAAGGATGATGAGAACACGCTTCAAGTGGACATCAACAGGTTTCTTGATTTACCAGAATATTTGTGTGAATGTCACCTTAGTCCCATTGACCTTTAATTGTACATACTTAATACACTGTACGAAATACGGAAATAGTAGTCAGATATAGAAAAAAACCACATAGAGATATAACAGTTTCAAACAACTAACTTCTGCTGCATGGAATTTTTTAAAAAAAGCAAGATTTCAAATTTTCTGTGTTTCAGCTTAATTCGTACGAGACAAATCAATAAGCATTTGACCCCAGCTCGATCGGGGGATCGAAGAACAGAAAATACTCTAGTTTAGCTCATACAGTTATGAATAGAAAATGGACAACTCAGCTTATGTCATTAGATATAACTATTTAGTTCTAAAGCATAACTCAGACTGAAAGAAGTAGATGACGAACATAAAACACACATTTCTAAATGAAAATGACGTTTAGTAACTGAAATGAAATAAAGAGCACAATGCAGACATCTCATTATGTCAATCCAAGCAGATGACCGATACAACTTACAACAGCTAAACCACCAAAGCAGAGTCTTCAATTAAGAGAAAATGAAATCCCAAACCAATAACTTACCAGTTTGCCCTTGCCCAAACTATCTAGTCTCCGTTTCGTATCTTTGTCCTTCAACGACAATTCCCAATCCTGTAAATTACTCAAAAGGCCCTCGAAGTCCTGCTCAGCCAAACAATTCCCAAAAGGGATAAACAACTCTCTCCTTGTCACTAAAATAAAAACAGCTCAAGTCCCTCCTCTCAACAAAACACATGAAAAGATAGGACATTTTTATTCTTGTTGCAAGGGTCTCATTACATGCATTCATCATCATCATCATTATTACTGAATTATCTGGATTCGCCTTAAACACGTTTCTGTGTGTGCTTAATAATCGATTTAGAAGTTCCTTCAAAACTATCTTTCCTGCACAATGCTTTGAAGAAACAATGTACTACATTATGTATAAACCCAAAAAAAAAAAAAAAAAAAA